TATATATATATATAATCAAAATATTTTATAATATTATAATATTGCAAAATTTATTCATTGTTAGTATTATATATTTAATAATTAACAGTTACTAAACGTCTCTTACAAATTTTCACTGATTACTATTTGATTTACAGATAATGTTTATATACCGACTTTCTAAACAAACAAAAATATTGTTTCTGAATATCAATGCTAATAACAAGATAACAAGCAAGATAAATATGTAGTCAAAGAATATTTTTAAATAAAATGTCACTTACTGAAGTATCAGGTTTAATTAAATCAACTACAAGAGATATAGCATCATATTCAAGAGCAAGATCACGTGCATAGGGAATATCAATTATATTTCCTAACACATAAACTATTTGTTCGACAATTGAAGATGCAGACTTAAGTAGCTTCAATAATTTTGGTATTGCTTCATATTTTTTACGATTCTTCGATTCTTCGGATCCATTCAAAGTAATAACAGTTAATAAAGATATTACTTCACATTGCAGGCAGATGCTATACAAATAGAATTAAAGAAATTATGCCTTATTCATGAATACATGAAGAAATAGATCAGAAAAAAAAGAATTAATAATATACGATTAAATTGAAAACATAAAGAAATTAGAAATATATTTATTGGCGTGTATGTATACATATTTATGTACATATAGGTATACAGAGTGGTCCACTTAAATCAAACATCTTGAATATTTCGCTTATTTTTGATAATATAAAAAAATGTTTTAAACGGAAATCAAACAGTTTCGAGGAATTTTGGTCATATTGTTTCTTTTCTAGGCGCCTTTTCTGGAGGCGCCAAAAAGATATAAAGCTCACCTCCACTTTTTTAAATGGAATTGTGTGGTTTCTTTTACACAATATGATTCTTCTAATTATTCTGCGTATAAAAAAAATAAGGTAGTAACAAACAATAAATAGTTGTGACATATTTTATACTTTATTCTGGCACATATTGATATAAAATGATGCATAACTCGTAAACTATTTTCAATAATCGTATCTTAATACTTTTATAAATAAAATAATGGGATGAATCAGTTAGTGTAAAGAAAACATATCATTGCTTTAAAAAAATATGTATGCAAAATGGATAATTTTTTAAATAAGCAATTATGTGTTTTTTTTTTCCACCAACTGATTCATCTCATTATTCTGTTCGTAAAAATATTAAGGTACGATTATCAAAAAGTTAATAGTTTACTAGATATTTAACATTTTATGTCAATATGTGCTAGAATAAAGTGTAAAATATTACCTAAACTATTAGTTTGTTGATATCACTTAATACTTTTATATGCAGAATAATTAAAGGAATATTGTATTGTGTAAAAAAAATAAAATCATTTCAATCAAAAAGTGAAGGTAATCTTCATATCTTTTTTGACACCTCCACCTGGACGAAAATTATTATCACCATATGATAGCCCCCTTTATACCGTTTAATTTTGGTTAGATAAAACTTTCTCTACATTTATTTAATAAAAATGAACTTTATTGTAGTTTTAAAAAGTTTTTGACATCAGCTATTAGACTCTGGAATCAAAAATAGGATGACCAATTTAAAAAATTCGATGTGATCGATGTGACCTTGACCTGACATTGGTGACACCATCCGAGGTCAAACTAATAAAATCATTAAGTAAATCTTTTTAAACCCTAAAATTTTTGTAAAACATCTCTAAAACATTTTTCTCAAAAATGCATACTTTTTGAGATATTTAGTCGACCTAGAATTTTTGGCGGGCACTGTATACATACCGCAGAAGAGCTCAATAAACGTCGTAATAATTCGTAAATAATTTACTTAATTCTATAAATTCTTTTTTTATTTTTATGTGGATACGTACTTGTCGCTGTCTAAAAATTCAATGCAGCGTGATAAAATGTCACCAAATAGCATATTATTCACAGTTTTCCTTTGTCGACCTAATTTTCTGTACGTTTGAATTCCTATTAATTGTAATGTTTCGTCTGACGAATTTATGTTGTCTGCAATTTCATCTAATTCAGTAAGATCGAAATCGGGCGAAGTTTTGTACATTAAATCAAATAGTTCTTGTTCTATATCAAAATTGCGTTTTGTTAATCGAACTTCTTTTATGGTTTTACATAATTCCATTTCCTCCCATTTTATTCGTAACATTTCCTAAGATACGTATAAATGTGTAAAAAAAAATGTCAAATGTGTCAAATAAATACAATGATTCGTATGATGTTTCGTATGATTTATGTTAAATGATTAAAATGTAATAAAAATTATATAAAATATCAAAAAACATGCAATGTATTTACATATAACATTCATTCTTATATTTATGAAATATATGATTAAAATAAAAATATCTGCTATAAATCATAAAATAATTTAATTTACACTTACTTCGTCTATCATATTAATTTCAAAGTTTATTGCGACTATGTCATCATAATTTTCTTGAAAATACATTGATGATTTACTGTAAATTTATTTGAATAAACAATAAAAAAAAATTAGAAATGAATAACGCATCTTTAAGACAGTAATGCGAATACCATAATTGAATAACGAAAATCACGGAGTAATGTGATGACATGTAAAAACGTGATTGTATTAAATGTTAATTTAAAATTTATCGTATATAATGATTGCACGTAAAGTGTTGAATATTTATTTATATGAAAGTTTATAACGAATTAATAAAAAAAACTTTATATATTATCTAATATGTAAATAAATTGATTTCAAGCGTACTTTTACTAATTAGTCGGTATAAAGCTTATCTGATTAAAACTGCCGGTTTTACTACATGCCCGTGTTATTCGTTTTTCTTTGTCAAAGAATTTAAGTAATCTGTTACTATTATCAAAAATAAAAAAGAAGAAAAATTGTATCTTTTACAATTATCGATAAAAATAATTACCGAATAGAAGTCAAAACTCCGCACGTGATCAAAGATGTCCGCAATGAACGAGACTGTCCTGAATTGTGTGTCAGCAAGTTTTATTCTGGGGTTTGTTGATGTTTCTAGATCCCGAAAATCAATTAATGTTGAAAAATAACAGACAAATACGAACTCGCTGTTATTATTATGATATAATAAACTCTATTTCAGGCATGAGCAACTGAGCGATAGTGTCTGATCTGTTTCGATAGTGATCTAGTTTACACCTAACAATTGACTTATACCTTGACTTCAGAGATGTAGAAAAGAAAACTATAGAAACTTCTAGAATCATAAGCTACGCAAAATTTCCTCCCCAAGGAAAATTCTACTCGAAATATATAGTACCAGAGAAAGGTCATTCCGGCCCAAAACCTGTAATCGCTGCCTGTAAAATGCTGCTGCGCACTACTGCCACCTGACAAAGTGGATGTAAACTGCATAGTTCTGAGGGTAATATGTCTACTTTTCTGAGGGTAATATATTCACTTTTTTAAAGGTAATACATCTATTTTTCAACTCCAGATGATAAATCGATACTTGGTTTATATAATCGTGCTACATTCACAAATTGTACATCAGAAATATTCATCTCTGCAATCTTACATGCGCGTGATGTTTATTTTGCTTAAAAAAAGTATTAACATTAAGTATTAATTATATTATATTTTTACAAATGTGTTAATATTTATATTTTTAATAATCTGTATACATATGAATTAAGTTGTATTTCAAGCATTTTATTTTTCTTAAACACATTTTTATAGTTTATTTACTTTATTTGTTATTATTTTCTTATTACAATACTAAAATTTGAAAAACATATAATAACAAAATTAATCTAAACTTTGTGTGTGTGTGTGTGTGTGTGTGTATATATATATATATATATATACACACACACACACACACACACAAAGTTTAGATTAATTTTGTTATTATATGTTTTTCAAATTTTAGTATTGTAATAAGAAAATAATAACAAATAAAGTAAATAAACTATAAAAATGTGTTTAATAAAAATAAACTGCTTGAAATACAACTTAAGTCATATGTATACTGCTTATTTAAAATATAAATATTAACACATTTGTAAAAATATAATATAAGCTTAATTAATGCTTTTAAGCGAAATAAACATCACGTGCATATAAGATTGCAGAATGCATGAATATTTCTGATGCACAATTTGTGAATGTAGCACGATTATATGAACCAAGTATCGATTTATCATTTGAAGTTGAAAAGTAGACGTATTACCCTGAGAAAAGTGGACGTATTATCCTCAGAAAAGTAGACATATTACCCTCAGAGCTATGTAGTCTACATCCACTTTGTCAGGGGGCAGTAGTGCGCAGCAGCATTTTTGCAGGTTTTGGGCCAGCATGTCCTCTCTCAGGTTTCTTTCTGCGTGTAATCAGTGACAGATCACGTGACAGGTAATACTTCTAACTTTTCTCGCAAGGTGCGATGGCATTAAAATCAACAGGTCCCGATTTTTCATGGATTTTACGATATCTTCTTTCGAGTCCACTTTCAGACTTTGATCTCTTTATTAAGCAATAGGAATAGGAAACACTATTTCAATCTATCAGAACTCGAATATATCGGAATACATAGTTTCTAATAGGTTAAAATCGTGTTATTTCTATCGCTATCGCTATTCCCTCGCATTGTATCTTGGGCTTTATCCGTGATCAACACCTATGCCGTCATTACTTAGAGTGGAGCGGTGTACTGCACTTAGGTAACTAAAATTTTATATATCAAAGTAGCATATAGGTCCTCCATTTTTTATTTATTAACTGTACCCTATACCGCTAATAATACTAAGCACTTATTGGACTGAGTCACAAATGGCGGTCGAAATAATTGATAGGAAGGCTGTCGGCATTTCGGCTCAGATCAAAGGGATGCGTTACTTTGATATATAGAGCTTTACTTAGGGTAGAGCGCTAACTTTAGTTTAAATTTATTTCAGTTTAAATTTAATTTCCAGTTATATATATCGTGTTGGAAAAACAAACGACAATTAATTGTAACAATGTCTCGCGTTTAAATTCAGTGTGCGCAAATCATTGCTCTTTTGCAAAAAGGATTGAGCCAAAGTGATGTTGCATGAGGAATAAGTGTTAATCAGTCCTCTATCTTTCGAGTTTTAACTCGTTATTAACAAACAAGAAGATTTCGTCGAAAGAGAGGACAAGATCGAAGACGAGTAACGTCAGTTCGAAAAGATCGTCTCATCGTTAATGCGATAATACGAAATCCAACAATAATTGCACGACGAATTGCGAATGAAATTCGCACAGACGAATTGGCGATCAAACGATCAAGAAACGTCTGCACGAAGGAACTTAAAGTCGCGGGCTCGTGCTCGTGTGTCAATGTTATCTATGGCTCATCGACGTTCTCGTTTGCTAAGTATGCTCGCATTTATGAAAATTGGACTGCCAGACAGTGAAATAACGTACTGTTCACGACGAATCGCGATTTTGTCTTTTTAGTTCAGATGCAAGGATTCGAGTTTGGCGTCAACGGAGACATTGCTATGAACAAAATTACGTCGAGCCTGTCCAAGCATTTGGTGGTGGTTTCGTTATGATATGGAGTGGAATTTCGACGCACAGATGCACGAATCTTATCACTTTACCACCTCTGGGAATGACCGCGGCACGTTATGTGGAGGAAATTTTATGTCGTCAAATAAAACGCAATTTTATCTTGATGCAGGAACGTTCGCCCACATACCGCCAGAATTGCAATTAACTTCCTCAAAGAAAACAACATCGAAATGCTAGCACAACCATCAATGAGCACAGATTTGAATATCATTGAACATGTATGGCATATGATGGGAAGAAGATTAGAAGAACCGCCAACAAATCTGCAACAAGTGGAAGCAGCATTATATTGAATATATGGGAAATTCCTCAGGCTTTAATTAGAACTTCCATCAATATGCGTACATGTTTACAAGAAGTCAGGCAGAGACGTGGCGGAAATACACAATTTTAAACCGCAAACATATCGCCACGTGTCTCTACCTCCCGATCCATACACACGCACACACACGATGCGCAAAATCCGATCAGCAATCTCTCCGTGGTACGCATCGGGTAGTGTTAATGCTGGCGGTAATTAAGTTAAATGCATAGATAAGTTTGATACACTATCTCCTAAAAAAAAAAATCGTACGAAGCTTAATTTTTTTTAATTTGTAAGGAAAAAGTTCATACTTTACGACAGTTATCATAACATTTGCGAAAAAAATTTCCACCCCATGTAGTGCATCAAACTATGCAAATTTCTTTAAAAAAATCACGTCTATTTTTTAAAGGGTAAGGATAGATTCAAAATTCATTAAAAGCTTCGTAAAGTACTACTTTACCCTTGAAAATGAAAAACTCGTGTCTAATAAATCAATAATGATCTCCGGACTTCTATATAAAGTTAGAATGGCTCAATATTTGTCCACTTTATAAATATTAACATACAGAACAAAATATCTTATTTCAATGTAAATTAGAGATCTTATAAAGATAGAGGAAAAAACGCAAGAAATAAAAAAAATAACGTATCTTCTTATTTAATATGATAAATATTCAAAGTATATAGATTTAGATCAAACTTCGCACATACTGAAATGTCAGATGCATCTCTACAACAGTTAGTACTAGTAGTGCTAGAGATAGAAAGTAAGTTAGATAATCATATAAATGAGTTATTATAAAATGTCAAACGATGTATAATCAACATAAAAAGTATACGTGGATTATTCAATAAAATACAGTATTGGTTCTTTTCATTTTATTGTACCAAAAAATTGCATCTTGTTCAATCATCGTTAATTCAATATAATATATATATATATATTTATATTTGTTATATATATATATTTATATTTGTTATATCTTATTTATAATAAATATTTATAATAGCGTAATGTTCATTGTTTGTCATTGTTTTATTGTGTTCACGAATCATGAAAACGTGGATTCAGCAAGTTCGTAATCATCGTCATCACGTGCTAACTAGAAAGACGTTCTGTGTGATTGGTCAGATTCGGGAAATCTGGTAAAAGACACGCCAGATCGTCGAATTATTTCTGTCTCATCTCCGTTTTTTCTTTTGCTTTTTTTTTCTTTCGAAAAGGCCGGATCATTCGAAAGTAATTCTTTCCTCTCGACGTACTTATCATTGACATAGCTTTCTTCTTCTTTTTGCTAACAGTACCAGCATTTTACATAGACGATTCATACATTGAAACAATAGGTACCTAAGGAAACTTTACATCTAGCTGTAGTGAGGTGCCCGTTCCCTTAAATTCGTCCTTTAGAACTATTTTTCTGAATCTGTATATAGCGCGTAATTCCAAAAAAAATGTATCACTTTTTCATTCTCCGATAAAGTTGGACCTATGCCGTCTAAAGTTGTTACATAATACAATCGCAATAGAAGTCACGCGAATTTTTCATTCATTATTACTTATATCATAATTTCACTTTTAAAAATAATGATTTCT